ACTTCCTAACTTCCACCAGAAGCGAACTAAATTAGGTTAGCATTTCCGAATAACATTCTTTCAAACCTTATTGAAGCATGTAAGCTAATCTCCTGAATCAGTGTTCATAAAATTATTTTTCTTTGAAGAGGAAATTTTGTGATCGGCCTTCAAAATTAAAAAAATGCTGGTTTTTCTGGCACGTCTCTTCGTTCGCTAGGTTGCCCGCTTAGAGGACCACTGGTCTGAGTGCATTTCATTTAATGGGCTTTAACATTTTGATTGTCTACAAGCATATAAATTTTTTTGGCTTGAGATGTCACAACAGGTAACTTTTTCTCACCAACTGTAAAGTGTTAATGGGAAGAACCTGTTTATAGTTTTCCTTTCTAAAACTTGTTTGCAATGAACTGAAAGTGATGAAATTAAACCTAAGCGTGGAGCAGAAAGAAATATGATTATATTTTTAATGTGTCTTGGATTTTGAGAGATGCAGTAGAAGTTTCTTCACTTAGATGACTTTGGGAAATGCAATTTGCAGCTGTGTAAAGGTGACACCAGATAAAGAAGTACCGATGGTTTTTTTGGAGAAGAATTTGGAACTGTTTATGGGCGGAGCAGAAACAAACACTGGTGTCTCCTCACAGCTGCTGCGCGATATTTTCTGCGACTAAGAAGCAAGATTGTGACTGGGGAACAGAATTTGGATGAGTAGACTTTTAAGGAACTCAACGAAATCCAGGAATAACATCGTTTTCTGATTAGCCAATGATTGCTCTTGTGCAGTGAAGTAAATGACGAAAGATTTTTTCTGCAGTTATAACGAAGCTTGAGTGATGCATGATAGCCATAGAAGACTAGAAGATTAGCACGATGTCACCTAGCTATCCTTCTCCGCACGACAGGGAGGGTGATGTTTAGTATTTGACGATGTCCTTTGCAGATTAATTGATTTTTCTGTGGCTTGCATCACTGGGAACTGCAAGGAGGGAGGTTGGTGTAAAAAAGCGAAAATAATTTACAGGGCTGAAAGGGAATCAGCAGGTTTTTCTTCACTGGTTGATTTGTCACTCATTTCAAGTAAGTTCTCGTCATCGTGCTCTTTCGTCATTCACTGTGGGACAGGTAATTGAAGGGACTGGTTACGATTTCGTGCTGTTGTGGTACTTTTTTGGCTCCTTGCTGGCTGAAATTTATTTGTTTAGGCATAGAGCATTTCTGTTACTGCTTGATAGTTTCACGAGTAGGGTAGTGCTGAGATCATTTTTGATGATTATTGGAATTTGACAAATCAAATGGCCAGAAGAGCGGAATATTTGAATTGATTTCTGTTTCACAGGGTTGAGGGAGTATTTATTTTAATTGTTTTTACGCAAAGGAAGTTGTGAGGTCTCAAAATTTCAATGCACCTGCGGAGATTCGTTGTTTTATGGTACTTCCATTGGAAAAATCAGCTTAGCCGCATAATTTGAATGAAATGTGAAAAACTCGCATTTGGTTATACGGTATTTGATGTAAGTCGAGGTGTCATATAGACCAGATTCCAAAGTGACTTCTCTTCTTATGTGTTCAAAGTAGAGGACCATACGTAAAATTTTTTACGAAGGGAAAGTTTATATTACGGTTTTTTCATAAAATGTACATTTTTGTATGGTTTCTAAATTTTTTAGTTGAAATTGGTGCGAATATACGTTTATTTGAGGAATCAAAGCTTTAAAAACGTAAACTTCTTGAGTCCCAGTAACAAAGGACAGGATTAAAAACGTAGAATATTTATTTTTTCAGAAAAACCCAAAAAGTTTCCATATTTGGTATATCTAGTTCATATATCTAGTTCATGAGCTGAATGGGCATCCACTTTTTGAAAGTTCTGCTTTTCATTTACAAGATTGAACTGTAGTAATTGACTAAATTGAGGAAGTAACCTGGCAAACTATAGCTCGAAGTGAAATTGTTGCATATTACTGTTGCCCTAAATGTTTGTCTTTGTTCTCCTGGAACTGCTGCTTAACGATTTTTTTTAATTTCAGCTGTTTATGAAATGGCTAAAGAGTACAATCTTGAAATTTCGTTATTTGAAAGAATGGTGAGAAACAGTTACCCTTATAAAGCACTATTGGTCCAGCACCGGATGAGTCCGTTGATTTCTGATACATTAATGAAACATTTTTATCCCGAACTGGAGAATGGCAGTAAAGTTTTCCATTATCCCTCAGTACGCGGTAAGTTTTAGCGTTTGTTAACCTTTTTGAGCGGTAGAATAGATCATCTTTTAGCTGTTAAAGAAGGTATAACTTCGCTTGCTTGTGTGAAATTATTTCACTATTTTCAGGTACTTGTCAGCCTCTATTCTTTATCAGTCACAAATATCCTGAAAACCAGTCTAGTTTGTTTTGTCACCAAAATGAATTTGAAGCTGACTTCGCTGTAAGCTTAACGAATTACTTTCTTCAGCAGCACTACGGATTGGAAGAAGTAAATTTGATCTTGCTTGTTTTTTTATTACGGTTCAGAGTGGTTTTTGATAACGAACATATTTAGTACAGAAATTATCGGTAAAGCAAGTGCTTCATTTTTTTTTCTGCAAAGGTTATAAGGTTTTATGAATTGTTCTTCATTTTTGTCATATGGAAGAGTATTATTTAGGATCTTGAACTATCTTCTTACCCGTATTTTTGATTTTTGTTGGAACAGTAAAGAAGTAACGACATGAAGTATTATCAAGCTTTCAAAACCCCAAAAATTAAGGTGGAACCGGGATCTAGAATTTTCTAGTATTCTCCAGCGAGTCTGTTTGAGACTAAGTTGAGCGAGGAAAACAATCTAATTTTTTTCTTGGATTTGCGTTTATTAATTCAGGTTGGGTTTAATGCATAAATTCAATAGTGAAACTTGTTTGGGAGAGATCTTTCAGCTAAGGTTCCTGGTTCCCATGCTTGAGATACAACGCTCTTTTACGGCAAAAGAAAACTTTGATATTGCGGAAAGTGTTTTCGATCCAACTTTCTTTTAGGTTAACCTAATTGTGAAATCAATGTGTTTTCTCAAATTGAGGTGCTTGCAGTAATATTTTTAATTTAAGGGAAGAAAAGAGGTTAGGAGTTTGCTTGTTTCAATTACCTTAAAAGACTAAGTAGAGTTGGCGAAGTTCTTGTTTGGAAGACTCGGTTTAATGTTGGGAAAGTAACTAAGGTTTTGCCAGTATTATGCAGAAAATGTTTAAAGGAGAGTTTTGACAATTCAGGTGCTGAACTCGCAAAATTCTGCGAGATTGTATTGTGAAAACATATTCTGCTTTTTTTTTTGTTGGGGCTAGGGTTTTCGTGATTTATTAATTGTTGTTGAGAATGGCTCTTCGTATAAAAGTTTTATTGGTTTGCTGAAGGGATTTTTGAGAATATTATCTTTGAAAATTGTTTATTTTGCTCTGAGAAAGTGAACATTGGCAAAAGGTGTTTTACTATTATGGGGAGCGATATCACTTGATTTTTCAAAAATTACTGTTAATTGATGTGTGCTGTCTGAGTTCTTAAAAAGCGCAGGTGGAAGGGAAAAAGCGAAAGATGTGTAGAAAATGGCTCTAAGTTATTTTGAATCTCTGCATGATTTTTTTTCTGATCAAGATATGAATCTCGAGTTCAGGTGTGTTAGAAAAGTAATATAATCTTGTCAGCCATGGATAATTTACGTAATTTGGAACCTAATTTGCTTTCTTCAAGCAAACTAAAGGTGCTTTCTCGTCAAATTTGTTTCTTTGGTGGGAAGTATTTTGGACCGACATACCGACCTGGAAAAAAAAAGGGGGTTGGAAAATTTGAGCTGGAAAAGGAAGTATTTGTCATACTTGTGGTAATGTGCAAGTTGTATTTTTAGCGCTGACAAGCCTTTACTAAATGAAAAGATGGACATTCCTTGAAACCTTTGATTACATCTAGAATGTTATTTTCAGGAGAAAACAAAAAGTGTGTAGTGTGATGTGACAGTTAGTTGACATCTGATTGTAAGCCTTAGACCACATTATCTAGGATTTCAAATGTTGGCTTTCAAACGCTTTGAGTCGAATGTGCGATGTTTTGAATGATTGTGTGTATATCGTCTTAATGCTTCTAAAAGTCTTTTAGGTAACGATTTTATGTGCCTATTTGGCGCAGGCAGCGCTCGTAAAGCGTTTAGCAAAACAGAAATTCAATGACTTTGAAAAGCTTGTCATTGAAACGGTCGATGCTTACCAAGGAAAAGAGAACAATATAATTATTTTTTCGGCTGTTCGTTCGATTCCTTCCGCCTCTATTGGATTCTTGGCCGTACTTTTTTAACAGCTTTCTTCGGCAGCTCTGCTTCTTTTAACGAGTTCAAGAAACTAATGAGGTGATTTTACTTTGAGGTTCCGAATCGCGTTTGCGTAGCTTTGTCGCGAGCTAGATATGGATTTTACATGATTGGTAACATGGATGTTCTGACGCACTTTTCGAAACTGTGGCGGAAGATATGCAATTCTTTAATTTATGAGAAATGCATTGAGGATGCGTTTCCAGCTTACTGTGCTGTACATGATCGCCTTCAGGTCATTTTCGTTGATTTGAAGCTAGTAATTGATTTCGAATTCTTAAAATGTTTTGTAACTCTTCAGTGGATAGAAAACAGTTCAGATTTCTTAAATAAAACTCTTAATGGAGGTTGCGATATTCCATGCGGCTTCTTACGACAGTGCGGCCATTATTGTCGAAGGACATGTCACAAGTAATCTTTGAACATTTTCATATTGGGTTCGTCATTCTATGCATTTTTAATAATGGTGAAGTTTGTTTAGTGACGATCTTGATCACATGGCTCAGTGTGATGGTATTTGTGAAAAACTGTGTAAGAATAAAGCATTTATGCATCCTTGCGCTAAAAAGTGTGGACAGGTTAGTAGTTTTTTAAGATGTTTTGAGGCCGAGTGCACATTATTCCTCTTGTTGAAAGAAAGTTTTTGGGAGAGTTTCTAAATTAGATGCAGTACTTTTAGCCTTGCGGTGACTGTACAAGATACGAAAGTAAAGTATTTCCATGTGGTCATACAACAGGAGTCGTTTGTTACCTCTATGACACAATTCGGTGTAAGCAAAAGTGTGAAAAGACTTTGGATTGCGGGCACCTCTGCTCAAAAAAATGTTGTGAAAGTTGTGATTGTGACAAGGTAGGTTTACTAAACAGCTTTTACTTGTGTTATTTTCACTTGATCTTGATACGAATAATGGGTAGTTTTGGGACAGGTAATTTAATTGTGACCATTCCTGTTTTCTCAGAAAGTGCGAAGAAGATTGGCTTGTGGTCATGAAGTGGAAGTATTTTGCGGGCGGGATAGCGTTGACGTAAAGTGTACAGCATTTGTGGAAAAGAAGTTTGTTCATTGTGGTCATTCTGCTTTGGTTCGTTGTTCAGAATGGGACAGTGCTGTTTGCGACGTAATCTGTGGGAAGCAGTTACCTTTTAATTGTGGACATCGCTGCATATCAAAGTGTGGAATCTGTTGGGAAGGTTCAGCTCAATTTTTTTTTTTTTGGATAAGTTTTATAGCAAGAAAGTCTTTGTCCTTCTAACAAACTGTTTTTTCAAAGTTTAGTAGGTTGTCCTAAGACTTGCAACAACCCTTGTTCAAAGCTTCTTCCATGTGGTCATCCTTGTCAACTGCTTTGTGGGGAACCCTGTAAGACAGACTGCGACTATAGCTGTGAAAATGAATGTTTACATACCGGTTGCAAAGATGTTTTATTTATGGTCAGTTTCTCTCACCAAAAGCTGACAAAAGTAGACTATAATTTTTGAACACTTTAATTTCCTCGTTTACGTTAATGTTGTAGATTTGTATACTGGTCACAAAAATTACTATGAGCAACGCTATAAAGATTCTTCCAGCAGTGCTAGTAGGGTTTTTGTAATTTTCTATACAAGTAATTCAGTTTATTTGTTTCAATCATTATTCTTTTGTTCAAATAGTTCTTTTTCTTTTTGAAATGTTTTTGGCTGTGTTCTCATTTAATGATAAGTATGAACAGCTCCTTTGTTGAACTTTCAGGGTAGTTTGCGGAGATGCAAAGATCCGTGCATTTTTTGTTTGGAAGCTTGTGCAACCAAGGGTTGTGGGAAGAGATGCTGGGAACCATGCAACTTTGTATCTTCTATTTCTCCTTGTCTTCTATGTCTGGAGTGTGGCCACCGGTGTTTGGGGCTTGAGTCAGAGAAGTGCCCAGGTGGTGTATTTCAAACGAACCTTTAGTACCGATGCTCATACAGTATTTTTGACGTTTTACTTCTAGACTTATGTCTGATTTGCAAACCACAGTACTATGCCAGTTTGTTAAAGCCAGTAGAAAGCGGGAAGCGAGTAATACAGTTTGAAAGTTGCAAGTGTGTCTTGCTTGTAGAGGTAGGTTTTCTACTTAATTGTGGTGAAAAAAAAGCCTTCCCACGTGTAGCGTACGCATGTAAATGGTCTTGTTTTCTAAATTGTACGGTAGCTTACTAAAAAGTACTTCCTCATTCGTTTCTGATGGCAATAAATTTTTTTTATTACCATGGTCATTTATTTTTCGAAAATATTGGCTTATTTATTCAAAGTGCTCACATTTCCAGAACAGTAACTTGAAGTAATTAACGTGCTAAAGGTAGACACTTATAAGGTGATTCTTAGAAAAAATTTTTCATCAGGAAGCGGATAAGGCGGTTGCGAGGCAGTTTTCAGGAGCTGTTGCGCTAAAATGTCCAAACTGCTCGAAGAAACTAACAGTTCTAAGTTGTCAGCGTTATGCATCTTTTATAAAGAAGAGGAACGTCTATTTAGAGAAGGTTGTTGTCTTATGATCTTTAAGATTGGTACTACTACATTCTGGTGCCTTTGATTGAAACTTTTCACCAGTTTTCGCGAAGCTTCCCGCTTTGTTTGCAGAAGAAGTATCTGGGAACTGCAGGTGCTGAGGAGCTTCGCAAGAAAGAAGAAATAATAAAGAAATTGCATACAGAAATTGGAACGTTGAGTGGAAACGTCAGACCATTTTCATAATTGTTCTTGTTTTTTTTACGCATTTTACGTGTTCACAGGGCTGTCATTTTCGAAATTTCTGCTTTCCTACAGATCTTGTTATGAATGAAGCTTTCAGAATCCGTTGCTTTCAAAAATTGCGAAGGCCATAGGACGGCTTGTACGCACTTTAGAGAAAGTTAATTTGAATAAAACGGGGTGCGAAATGTGGTCTCTTTTAGTTTGGTTAGCGATAGCTTTTAAATTTTGGAATTAAAGTGGGATTCATAATTCTGCAAACACGTGTTTTTAGAATTGACGGCGTGGAAAATTTAAGTCCGTACCTTTATTCAAAAAGATATGCTATTTGAGGTACTCGTTGAACTTTTGCATTTCAGCCTACTTCATCAGCTGATTATTATAATCAAACGATATCTTACACTTAAACAAAAGCCTTTGTTAGCGGACGGTTTTTCTGTTTCGCGGAGCCTTCAGAGACAACTTAATAGTGAAAATGCTCCATTCAAACCAGTTGTTAGTTATTTTTATGCCGTATACGGTGGTTCTCCGGAACATTACATGAAACAGTTTGGACCTGCATATATCATTTTTCTATACCTTCATTTGGATTGACCAAATTTCATATTTTCCTATTTTTCAATGCTTTTTTTTGTAGTTGGTGGGTAAATTTTTTGAACTTATTTTTTTAAAAAAACGATAAGATTTCTTGTGTTATTTCTTCACCTTTGTAACGCAACAACTTTTACTTATTTTTGAAATTCTAGGCCGCTGACCTGGATCAGTTGTTGAGCTGTTTGAATAACTCGAATCAGCTCCTGTCTGTCCTTGTACCCTCAGTAACGGTATGCATTCGTCGACTGTATGTCAGAGTGCAGGTCCGAATTTCTTTTAACGTTTAGTGGTAGGATTTCTTGTCTGTTAGTTCCATTTTGATAGCGATCTGCATTTTCCTCGCAATTGCAGGTTGCTTTTCGTACTGGAAGCTGCTCTTGAACTGGGATTATGTTTGCTATAACTTTAAAAATTTCTGAGTTTCAGCTGTGTGTTATTTTGGAGAACTTTTCTGCCAATGCCAACCACGTTGTAGACCTCACTCCTGCAGAGTTAACCGGTTTGATGGAGTTTGCTAGTCGTGTGAACGATACACCAAACGACAAAGTGCAGCAATCTGCTTTAGGTGAATTGCGAGAAGTTTCAAGCAGTTCTCTTTTTAACAGTTAAAGCGGATTTCTAGTGTAGACAATATTTGATCGGTTAGGGTCGACTAAGGCTTTGGATGCTGCCGTTTTCTTACAGAAACGTTTCTGAAGTCGGGCACCACCCCCAAAACGTGAGGAAAACTGACATAAAATGCATGTGAGAACGTAGCTACTCTTGCTCAGTTTCACAAATCCCTTCCCATTTCTTTGCCTAGAATTAGGTGTAGTGAGTAATGCTAGTGAAAACAAGACTTCGTGTCTCAACAGTCTACACTTCCGCTAATTCTTTTCATTTTTAGATGGTTTCATTAGGAAGTGTAAGTTGGTGTGTGCAACTCGATGGCGAGACTTCTCTCATGTGGTTGTGGACTGGGCAGAGCTACCTTCCAACAACTTGTTGTGACCCTTTGTTTGCCGGCTCTTGCTGAAACTGAAGAGGAATAGCTGATCTTCTATAGCAGGAGATTCTTAAGTTTGAAATACATTCCGTTTGTGCGGATGCTGTTTTCGCTCTGAGTAATAGTTGTTAATTTAGAACTTACGCGACAACTATTTCAGCGGAACGTGTAGGCAGCTGTGAAACATAGCCTCTTATGCGCCGGACAGTGATTTTGAATAACTGCGATGGAATTTTTCGAGTTGAATTACTAAATAATTCCAAGGGACGAGTCGTTATCCAGCGATTATATGTTAAAAGTGTATTTTTTCCGAACAATACTTGCACTGACTGTAGGTTATGGTGTTGCTCAAGTCGGGTTTTAAAATACTTTTGTTATAAATTTATTGGACGTCCGGAGGAACTGAGTGAAATGTTATTAAACAGATAATGCTTAACAATTGAACTGATGGCTGAAGCTCTGTCACATGGGTACTGAATGAAGAGCAGAGAAATGGGCAATAATTCTTGAGTTTCGTATGCAAATTGCGCTGGATGAAAAACTAGCGAAGCCCAGCATTGAGATCACAATGCAAAGTAACTTCCGTCGCTTCGAACTTCGCACCCAAACTTTAGAAACAGAGTAGTTAAGATGGGGTAGGCTTTGCCTCGGATCTGTACCTCAGTCTTAAGAGGCCAACCTGCTGTTACGGAATAGCGAGCTTGTTCATCAAAATGAAAAGAAGAGCTGTAGGCTAAAGGTTATCAGGAGAAAGGAAGCGATTAAGAATTTCTCGAGTGCCGAGGAATTAAATAAATTAAAGTTTCAGCTTATGCAACGTGAGATGCATAAATGAATGTATTTTCAGACTGGCAATGGTTTATAACTGCATTGGTTATTCACCTAACACCAGCACGAGCCCTCCTCAGTCTCGATTTTTCTTGGCTTGATCGGCCCCATTTCAATAACTGGATCTAAAAATATACGTCTTTACTACAGCTCTGCATGACATCAAAATACACAATGCACAGTGAAGTGTTATTCAGAAGAGACTCAAGAACTATTGAGAAAAGTGACCAAGCATGCACCGAGCAAAGTGTTATACAATTTCGGAAGGCATGGAGCTTCACAGTCAATACCACCAACAAATTCAAAGTAGGGACATTAAAAAGAATGCAAACATAAGATTGCTTTTGCCAAAAGTTTAGACTTGAACAGTGATAGACAGAGGAGGGGAATGAAGGCTTTAATTTTTGGTTTTGAGAGCTTGCAAGGTGTGAAACCAAACGGAATTCGAAGTTCAAGTGTTAAATTATGTCCTACTCAACCAAAAAAAATCACTTAGTGTTAAACATCGAGATTTGAAACGTGCGCTCCATATACGTCCTACATAACTTTCATTCAAAATAATTAATTGGGACTTTTTCTGGTAATCGGATGTTGAACTGATGTAATAAAAATTCCAAGATGGACTGATCTCTCTACGTTTAAACCTTGTCAAGGTATGGAAGATAGAAAGTGCGCAACTTTGGGTACAGTATACAAACAGAAAGTGAAGAGAAGAACCACAAGAGGGCTATCGCAGACCCCATAAAAGAATGAAAAAAAGGGAAGTCGACGATGACGAGATTTAACAGGAACAACCCGACTGCGGCATTTGGATTTGTCCAATTGGAGCATCGCTCAGCCTTACTTCTTGCACTAAAATGGTAAATAAACTCTATTACGACGCTTACAGTACAATGTGATCAAAGTAAACAAAAACAGGACCTGCGTTATAGAACTATATGAAGGAAGCAAAAAATAAAAACAAAAAGTAAAATAAAGTGGTGGAAACTAATCTATGCGTTTGGAAGACACATACATACGGTGTTGTCTACTTAGAAAAAGAAATGTGGTCATTTGAACCAGCACTGAAAATGTAAAAAGTGAAGCCAAAAATTATAGGAAGAGGTTAACCACCACAGCACATAATTGACAAGAAACTTGTTTTTGCAAACAACAGTTAATAGATTCGTGATTGAACGTTACTATTTATTGGAGGTGAGCAGAACTGAACGACACAATGAGTCAGTTAACTGACCACGTATGGCGTAAGTTGTTGACAAGTAACTAGAAAACGACTTCAGAACCACAAATATAATAAGCAAGTTAGTGTTGCATAATACCTATGAGGAGTGGTAACTAGTCACAGACCATGAGTTTAGTCAGTCAAACTTAGGGAGTAGATACTGAGAGTAGATTCAACGCATACATAGAAATGACTTCAAAATTTCTAACTGCTACCTCTGATTTCTGAAGCAGGAAGCAAAACTAAACTTGGAGCCGCAAGAAATGAAACTAGCCATTAACGACCCATACTGGTATTTTTTCATAAACAAAAAAAATACTACTATCTCTACCTCTAATTTAAAAAACAACATTGCAAGTACCGAAGACGATGCAAATGCCATCCAAAAGGAGAATCTAAATAACGCTGTATTTTATTCCAGTCCAGTGCAAATTTTAAAACATCCGTTTCTAAATTAAAGCTTACTTAATCACCTTCAAGACAAATAAAATACATGTTGGTCGAGTGTAAATGTAACTCTTCCGCTTAGCAAAAAGCTCAACTACCTAAACCATCTTAAAATACTCTTAACCATGAAAATAATTACCGGTTTTATCTAAAACAATATCTGCACGTTTAAAACCAATCCTCAAAGTGCTGCTTGCCCCTCGATTTTCTAAATGTATTCTATGACAGTATGAAGAAATGATATTCAGAGTAAACCTCGTGAAAAAAAAGCAAGAAATAGCACCATTTATTAAGGAAAAAAAGAACGGCCTAAGAACAAAAAAGAAAAATAAAAAAAGAAATAAAAGCTTACAGACCGAGAGAACCTTCCAGATTAAGGCAAAACGTTGCTTACCCTACCTCTAGTTTTTTTAAAAACGAATGCTTCACTCACTGGTAAAAGAAAATAGGACACAGCAGGTGCCTGGAACAAGTAAATCTTTCCAGCATCACCATGTTTTGGGTCACAGTAAAAAACGCTTAAATTCCGGTTCCCTTTGAGCACGCTCCAAAATTACAAAAAGAAACCACTAAGCAAAAAAAGCCTTCATCAAAAAATTTTTCAGCTCCAAAGACAAAAAAAACAATTGAGAGAATAATCTCCCTCTGTTTTTGATAATATCTTAAATATGCTTATTTTAAATTAAAAACATCCTCAACTAACACAAAAGTAATACCAATTTCCAACACATATAATAAACAGAAGAGCACTGTTATAAAGAGACTCTAGGGCCACACGATTGATTATCAAATAAATGAGTTAGAAGACCTGTCGATGCTACTAAATAAGCGCTGTAAGAAATAAGCTTCTAATAAACGAAAGCTGAACGTGTCGTATCCACCCATTTTTAAAAATGTCTACTAATAAGCTAAAACATATATAGTACTTTCTTAGTCAGAAAACGCATAGACATACCCAGCCACGGAAAACCTTCTTAAGAATTGATTTGATTCCAAAAAGCCAAAGTTTTCATTCGTGACACTGCTGAATATGAATAGATCACAAAATACAAATTACCGAGTAGGAAGAACGTCAGCATGTAAAAACCACGTGCATTTCTCTGCCACCAATTCATGCAGGATTTTAAAACTTAGTTGCCTAACTATAGTTAAGTTTAAAGGTTAGAAGCTGACACTTCGTAGCAACGCTGACTTTCCTTTGTGTGCAGCAAATCTTAAGCAACCAACCATTACAACAAAAGCTAACAATAATACTGCACAATCATTTTTTAAACAAAACATACACGCCAGTTAGCCACAAAAAATTCTGAAATTGAAAGCATAGTCCAAAGTCTAGTAAACTTACTATCATGTTTATCTTTCTGTTCAGGCTCTATTCCAGGTAAAGCTCCAGCAATACGTCGAAATAGCTAAAAGCACATGCTCAAAAAACTTCTTAAAACGCTTAGCAGAACCCGTAGTTAACAATACACAAATATCTTTAAAATACATAAGTACAGTTCCGACCTGTTTTACATTATATCCAGCTTTCGCGGAGGTTTCAATAAACATTACATTTAACTCTTTAGCTTTTCTCTCACCTTCTTCAGTAGAAACCTGTCTAAAATAAACTACGATTCAACAAGAAAAGAAGAAATTATCTGTTAAAAGGAGAAACAAATTACATATCAACAGAAGAACAACTGACCGTTTATCCGCAAGGTCCGTTTTATTGCCAACAAGCATAATTATTACGTCACTGCCTCGTTCCGTTCTAACATCATCAATCCATTTTGACGTCTGATGAAATGAGTTTGCATCTTAAAAAACAGACTGAGATTTCGTCAGAATAAAATTATAAATTAAATAATCCGTGAAAGATACAAATACGCATTAATGAGGAATAATAAAGAACAATTTAAAAATAATACTAAGCAAAAAATAAAAAAATATTCTCTCAGAAACCTGTTTTTAACTTAGTCTCAGTAAGCATTATTTAAGTCACTACTCAATATTAACCAATAAAAGCAGAAAGACCTTTTCGAATTCAGTGAAAAAAGGAGCAAGAAAACCAACTTGTAATATCGTATACAACCACAGCTACTGTTGAATCTCGTATATAAGACGGTATCAATGATCTAAATCGTTCCTGGCCAGCAGTGTCCCATAACTGTAGCCTGACCTAAAACTTAAAAACAGAAATAAAAGAACTGTCATTCTGTTTCTTCTTCGTGTCCGGCGAAACAAGATCAACATTCATTTAAATGAACAAAGGCCAACCTAAAGATAGTGCTACTGACAAACGGTGGATATAAATAACCAAAATTAGCTAAAAGTGACACAGAAGAAAAAATAAACTTTTGCCTCTTCCTTCCAAAACCAAAAAAAAAAACTAAATACAACTCACAGTTCTGTCCTCTAAATACATAGTTTTACTCAGGAAATCGATACCAATTGTAGCCTGATATGTATTATCAAAACTGTCGTACATGAAACGAGTTATTAAAGATGTTTTCCCAACTGAAATGATAAGATTACAAAAGATGATGACATCAACAAAAGCACAATATCAGAAGACAATTCTAGGTTATTATAATGAAAGCTGATACCGTAACATTCTCAAAAATACACTAAATTCTACTACTGCAGAATAGAGCAAGTAGAAATGTGCATCATTTTTGAGAAGTATCGTACTTTCCAAAAAAAAAAAGTGGTTATAATAAGAAAGGCAGACTTATGGCTAACAAAGCGATACCCCATTGGATGTTAAAAAACTAATACACTTCAAACAGTCGTCGAAAACACACTAAGTACCAACATCAACCCTATAAGCTATTACAAAACTATATGATCTCAGACTACTACTATCTTTAATGGAAAAAATGCGAGAAAAATGCAGCTTTTCGAAATCTCAATCTGTTTGTATTTATTTTATATCAAACTAACAAGATCACTTTTAGGTTTGTCTTAAGTGCAACACTAAAAATTATGTTAAAATAAGTAGTGTATCACTGCCAGCAAATATACTTTGGTACTGAAGTGGCAACTCTGCTTATAAAATTTTTAAGACGCTTTATTTTAAAAAGTTAATATGTTGAACCCCTAATACCTCCAAAACCATGTTTTTGAACTAATCTTTTCACGATGCCCCGTAACTGTCTTAACTGACAATAATGGCTAAAAAATACCTGCTGTGAAGAATGAAAAGTAACTGACCGCTTTGTTCGCCAAGAAAAACCAGCTTAAACTTCTTCAGCGGATTCCCGAAATCCGAAGCCATGACCAACTAAATGCAAAAGTTTATACTAAATCACATAATGAATTTATTAATAAAACATCTCATCTAAGTACTCCCAAAAGCACAGCTTTCTTGATCAGATAACGGTTGTTTGGCAAACAACATAAAATTCCACCTAACATGCCAAACGGACGTTCGTTTAAACAAAAAACTGGTCTTCCTTAAGTCCTCTACCGTATGGCAAGAACAGAAATCAAAATAAACAAAAAGAAAACGAAAAAAAAAAGTAAAAGTCCCAATATACTTGGCAATGTTAGTTCAGAAAATATTTGTGGTTTTTATTAATAGCTTCAACTACAGACCACCTCACATGTCCGTGAAGATCGTCTCAAAACATTTCTCGAACTTCAACAAATTATGTGACAAAAATATAAGGCAATTTTTTATTCAGATAAACAACTGTTTTTTTCTCTTTTTTTCATTTTAAAAAGCGAGTATTTCCTCAACAACAAATAAACTGAAAATAATTACTGGTTTAAACTCCATATTATTCCTTCCAAACCATAGCACGAGTCAATTCAAAAACAAGACTGATAATAACAAAAGACATGTATAGTAACTTTACCTCTACACTTAAAAAAAAAATTTATGCTGTACTCTAAAACTGACACTGACTACAACGAATTGACAGTAACAATTAAACAAATTAAAAATTGTTATTTCCAAACTGAACTGCTTCAGAGATTCAGTTAAACAC